ACAGCAGCACCCCTTTCTTTTTGGCATATGATTAATTTCTTTTCGCATTCCGTTGACATTCCACGGCGTCGCATTCGCGATGTCACTTTTCTGTTTTTAGTTTTATTTGTCCGTTTCCAGTTTACAGTTATGCGAGGTGATAAACAGCATTATGCGTTATGCCTGCCACCTGGAATTTAACTCACGTTTTAGCACAAATTATTACAAATTTGACAGCCGCGACGAAAGTGAGAGCGGTGGTGAAAATTCCGCAGAATGCGACTTCCGCCTGATGCACACAGAATGGTTAATTTATGCGAATATTGATAAGGCAGCCCTGCCATTTGCGTCGTCTTTCTGAGTCAGAAATGTCAGAAATTCTGACATTTTAATAACTCGTGCATTGTGGACGAGCACAGCACCGAAAGAGTCACAATGCCTAGTGAAGCGTATTCGCAGCAGTGAAAGTAAAGTCCAACGTCAACAGTCACCAGGTATCATTGAATAGGTACCAACAGCAATTGTAAACAGTATTACTTAAAATCTGTTAGGCCAACGTTATGAAATTATGCGAACTTATGTACTTCTTTAACCAGTTCCCAGGTAACGCATTAACGTTGAACTTAGAAAGAATATGTATATTCTTGATCAGCAACATGATCTGAGTAGATCTAGACATGTACGTTTGTCTGTTTGGTGACAAGAGTCATAAGTAATTAAAAAAATCGATATTCCAAAACAATATTCTTATCAAATTCACCATTAATTTTAGATAGTTTTGCAATTTTTATAAAATATTATTCTTGATCGTCGTTAAAAACTTTATTTTTGTCCTACAACCCCTGAAATTGGCATTTTCGTGCCTGTATTCCGTGCGGTAAATCGCTGATTTCAGCTGTTTTGCTGTTTGCACTCAAAATGCCAAATTTTACGGGTTTACGGACAAAAAGCACCGTATGTATCACTTGCGGTAAATACGAGACGACACTCGTGAACGAGTGTAATCTCGTTCTTACCGCACTAGATACATAAGGTACTTTGAATCTTGGTATAATAAGTACAAGGTAGTCTCGTCGGCTTTTTTTCCCCCTATTGGTCACTACAATGAGTGCGAGTGAGAGGGTGTTTTCCCGTAAGTGCGAAAGAAACAGAAGAAGATGATGTCGTAAAACCCTTATGCTGTGCACGGGGTTTAAAAAGGACTGTTATATGACAATGAGTATTAATTGTTCCGTAATTTTTGGTTTTTACCCAAATGGCAGCTTTGCCCTTCAGGACTCGCTCCCATATTCTTCACATTTCAAAATATTTTTCTGCAATATTACATGTTACGCCTTGTATGTGCTTGCTGCAATAATTGCAACAAGTATTTTTCATAAGCACACAAGGGTTAACGTTTTGAGAAAAAATTGTCCGAGGACAACCTCTCACTTCGAAATCCTGAGCGCACTGAACCATAGGGGTAAAAATCCCGAACGATTTTGCAGCCGACGAGACTACCTTGTATAATTCTACCATGCTTTGAATGTCACTTAATTGTTGACAGCTGCTTTGCTTGCACGTGTTTTGGATCGTCTTCGATTTTTACCTATTCAAAAAAATGGATCAAAGAACCTGTGTGAAAAACGAAATTTAGTGCGTGGATGCATTCCGAATGTTGACTGTGACATACGGAGAAGCTACCTTGGACCGAAGCAACGTTTATCGGTGGTACAAAATGTTCTCAGAAGGCCGAGAAGATGTGAACGACGAAGAGCGTGCCGGACGCCCGAGCACTTCAAGTTCGGTCGAATGTGAAAGTTTTGCTGACAGTTTTCTTCGATTGCAGGGGCGTGGTGCATCATGAGTTCTTGCCACAGGGAAGAACGGTCAATAAGGATATTACCTGTAAGTTATGCGCAATTTGCGCGAAGCAATCCGCCAGAAACGCCCGGGTTTGTGGAAGAACAAAAATTGGCTTTTGCACCACGATAACGCCCCTGCTCACACATCGTTGCTTGTGCGCGACTTTTTGGCCAAAAACAACACACTAATGATGCCGCAGCCACCGTATTCCCCAAATCTGGCCCCCCGTGACTTTTTCTTGTTTCCTAAACTGAAGAGGCCCATGAAAGGACGACGATACGCTACGCTTGACGAGATAAAGACGGCATCGAAGGAGGAGCTGAACAGGATAAAAAAATGATTTTTTGAAGTGCTTCGAAGATTGGAAAAACCGTTGGCACAAGTGCATAATATCTCATGGGGATTACTTTGAAGGGGACAAAATAAATAAACCATTTTTGAAAAAAACACAAAATTCGCGATACTTTTTGAACACACCTCGTATATATTCTTTATCAGAATCACGATCAGAATCGAAATACGTCTGTCCGTCTGTCCTCCTGTCTGTTTCTACGCTAACCAGTCTCTCAGTTTTAAAACTATCTTGCCAAAAGTGTATAGTTATTGCACGCAGCATATTAGTCGGAACGTGCTGGATCCGGCGACGATATCGGATAGCTCCCATATTAGAGATGAAAAAAAAATTACCACGCCGTTGTTTTTGATCATATCGCCTTGATTTCTTCCAGATGGCGTTTTTCGACTACTATCGAATTTCGATTGTTAATAATGTAAGGTGCCCGAAATAAGTATAATATGTAGGACACCTAATTTTTAAGTTTAACAAAATAATGCTTGATTATTTTTCAAAAAAACAAATTGCAATAATTCTTTATTAAATATGTAACGCCTTTCAAGTTATAGAAATAAAATTAAACTTCACAAAATATTATAGAAAATAAATCAAACAAGAAAGGAAGCTAGCTTCGGCAAGCCGAAGCTTATATACCCTTGCAGTCATAAAATATGTCGAACAAAATACATAAATGCTAAACAACTTCGAAGCTAAGACGATTTTTCTATTCATTTTCCGTATTTTCGACTATTGATCTTATGGGATCTATATGATATAGTTTTCCGATTTTGATCAAATTCAATTCTCAATTCAAGAGTCGTTAGAAAACTTTATATTCCAAAAATCATGCTTATCTGATAAAAAACAACGATATTATAATTTTATTTCCGTTATTTCTATATAGATTTTTCAATCTTTCCTATGGCAGTTATAATATATAGTTGTCTGATTTTTATGAAACTTTTTTCTCAATGTAAGAGTTGTTAAAAAAATTGATATTTAAAAAATGATGCTCGTGGGATAAAAAACAACGATGTTATCAATTTATTTCCATTAATTCTATATATATTTTTCGATCTCTCCTATGGCAGCTATATGATAGAGTTATCCGATTTTGATCAAATGTAATCCGAAATTCAATAACAGTTTGAGAACGCTATCTTGAAGAAATCAAGTCGATCTGATCAAAAACAACAAAGTGAGAATTTTTTATTTCATTCTCTTGTATTGGAGCTATCCGATATAGTCGGCCGATCCGGCCCGTTCCGACTTATATACTGCGTGCAACAACTACTCAACTTTTGGGAAAGTTTCAGCAAAATAGCTTTAAAACTGAGAGACTAGTTTGCGCGGAAACGGACAGATGGACAGACGGACAGACGTACAGACGTTTTCCGATTCTGCTCGTGATGCTGATCAAGAATATATATACTTTATGGGGTCTGAGGTGGCTCCTTCACTGCGTTGCAAACTTCTGACTGAAATTATAATACCCTTTTGCTCTGCAAGGGTATAAAAACTTTCAAACGAAATAAGTAAGTAGGACAAAGTTAAAATAGCAAGCTTAACAGTAATTTTAGGATAATTTTAGTAGGAAAAAGTATATACATATTTTAAATAGTGCATCCTTTGTTGTCTAATACCTTAATAATTCGTCCAGGCATTGAATTAATTAAGTTTTACAGTATTTCTATGTCGATTTTCTCCCATTCATGTTTGATAGTTTCTTTTAATTCTTTAAGACTACTGAATTGTTTCCCATTAGCATAAATCTTTTGGGATAATATGCCCCAAAGGTTTTCAATTGGATTTAAGTCCGGGCTGCGAGCTGGCCATTCCAAAATGGGGATTTGCGATGATGAAAAGAAGCTCTTTGTATGCTTTGCACAGTGGATAGGTGCATTATCCTGTTTAAAAGTCAATTTTTCACCAAAACAATTCTCTCCAAATTGGACTAGAACTTCGTCTAAGAGTTCTACATATGTTTGTGCATTCATTTTATGAGATATAAAGCACATAGGAGACTTTCCATTACATCCAAAGGCAGCCCATACCATGAGAGACCCACCGTGAATGTTCCTGGAGACGCACAGTGGGCCAAATGCCTCTGCTAGCGGAATTTTAATAATAACTGGGGTAAATGAATTGATATTTTATTGAAAATTTTAACTTAATATTCTTAATGTATTCTTGACATATTCTGAAAATATTAATGTGTTACCCCAAGTAAATCTCATACAATTCATATAAAAAATATAGTGAATTTCGTAACTTTATAGTCTTTCAAAAAATAAATTTTTAAACATTTTAAATTCAATAAACAATTATATGAAAATAATAAAAAAAATTTTTAAAAATTATAAAAAAATTTTTTCTGCCACACTTTCGCTAAGCCACAAGGCAAAAAGACGTCTGAAGGGACTGACATTCCACCTATAAAGTGTAATAGACTTCAGAATTGGCCGTAGTTGGCTCTCATTTTGGACATTTTGACACCACAAGGACTTACACTTCTCACAAATACTAACATTAGCATGAATATGATTGAATCACATTAGTTACAGATCAACGAAGACAGTAAAGCGTTTAAAAATCATTACTTCAAAAGCATGTTAATAACTATATATTTTTAGGTTGCACATACATAGATAAATCACGAACACATTATTTACATTTAGTAAAGGTATGTACTATTTTAACGAAAACAATGGTTACTTCAATTAAAAATCGTCAATACGTATATTTTTCAAATTTTGATCACAACACCCATTTGAAAGCTTTTAACAAGCTTTTGTGAGCTTCATAGAGTGTTAGCATTGAAATAAAAAAAAATTTAACCATATATTGAACAATTTTTTTGGACTTTTATTCCGCCAAATGTCTCATTGGGCCCACTGTGAGACGCCCAGAACGAGGTTTTCTACCATGATTTTCTGGGTCCTTTAAAAGGTTTTCCACCGTCCGCTTACTCCTCTGACATTCTTTAGCAATTTTGCGTATTGGCATCCCCATTTCTCGGAGTGCCAATATTCTTGCTTGCTCTAAATCGCTCAAATGAATACAAGTTGACATATCTGAACAACAAATGTTAATTAGAACCTCATAAAAAATATTTTTTGACGAAACTCACTAAATTTAATTATTTGTAACTGTTAGCAATCACTGCAATTGAAATAATTTAATTCGATGTCATCAGCTTTACTAAAACGAACACAAAATGTCCCACTTATGTACATACTTACATATTTCGTTCGCAAAGTTCACCAGATAAAAATAGACCTGACGGGATAATCGTACGGTACTTTTTTATGTTCTCTTTGCTTATGTCTCACAAATCGTTCAATCAACAATTAGTGGAATTTGTGGACAAAAAAGTCATTAACATGAATGTCCTACTTCAGTGGCGTAGATAGCTTTTTGATATGGGGGGGGGGGTATGACTCAGAATATGTGTTTCTTTTTCAATTTTGAGAGTTTTACCATTAATTGCCGTATTGGACATTGAGGCAAAATAAATATTGGCGCTTCAAAAATGTTATGCTTACATTAAAACACATGCCTCGAAAAAATTCGATTTTATCATCATATAATTCTCAGACCCAAGGGGGGGGATTGATCCCCCTGATCCCCCTCCCTATCTACGCCACTGTCCTACTTATGTACTTATTTCGTACACCTTATATATATAATATATAGATTTCTCGATCTTTCCTTTGGCAGCTATATGATATAGTTGTCCGATTGTTATGAAAATTTGTTCTCGGTTCAAGGTATTCCAGATAGTGTTTTTTAACTACTATAAAATTTCGAATTAAATTTCTTAAAAATTTCGAATAAAATTAAATAGGACAGATCGAAAGATGTACAGTATAATCCTGTTATAACGACTCCGCTTATAGTGCCCGTCCGGGTTTTGCGACGTTAACTAGATGGCTTAGTTGGTCCCCATACAAACTAATATATGTAAAAGGGCCTCCGCTTAGTAAGTTTTGTTTGCCGCTGTTAGCGACAAACCGCTCATACCGACGAAATGTTTCACAATTCAACCGGATATTGCGACGTGCCGAAAAAATAGACCGACAAAATGCCAACAAATTTATTTATTTAACAGAGATCGGCACGACACGAAGGTTCTTACACTCTCACAGTTTTAATTAGTTAGTTAGTTTTAGTTTTAAAATAAACAAAAAACAAGAAAGGAAGCTAGCTTCGGCAAGCCGAAGCCGGCATACCCTTGCTAATCAAATATGTACTGACTTCAAGCTGTTGTAAAATCCTTAAAAAATGAATTAATCTCTTTAATTTTTGCTTTCCAGTAATCTTTATTAATATCTACTAAAAATAAAAGGAACTTATATTTAAATAAGAAGTTGCTTATATTTATATATTTTTTTATTAAAAAAAATAATTAAAAAATTATCCGAAAATTATTCGTGAAAGAATCAAATTTGCCGCTCTTTTTTATATTTATCAAAACAAAAAAGTGTTTCGCTTTGCTAATTTAATTAGCAGTAGGTACACCCTGAATAAAATAGGACGTTTCGACTATTCTTTCGGCTTTGAATTTACCAAATTTAATTTATCCGTAAATTATTCGTAAGAAAATGTTATGATTTTTTTTTCTTTGAAATAAATAATTTTTTATTTATGTTTTCGAATAAACACTATTTAAGAAAAACAAGAAATCAGCATTGAGATTTTTGTTATATGTACATATGTATATTGAAAACTTGAAGGTTTTATTTTTAAATGTGTCGATCGACCGCTCATCAGTATAAGACTCGTCTGTCACAGATTCTTGCAAGGATTTATTAAAATTTCTTTAAGTTGACTCTTTTCCAGTCAAAATGTATTTCTGGTCAAACATATTGTTTACTACATATGTATGTAAGAGTATATCGTAGGCGGCTGAATTTAGTTTTGGAGTTCATTGCAAAGTTTTAGCCAAACTCCGTTAGTCTCCGGCATAATTGTTCCTTCCGTAAATATGTTGGTTTTGTATTTTACGACGGTGTCTATCAGTAAATCCTTTGGAACTGCAGATGGTCTGCCAGCCATATTTTCTTTATTATCAAAAAATATATTAAAGCTGCACTGAGTCAAAGAAAAACGCGGTTTCTTCGAATAAAAAAAAATAGCGTTGCCACAATGATCAACTAGTTCAAATCGTCACCGAAACGTGGCAACGTGGCGATAAAGTCGCCCAATCCGTCCCGTTCCGCCTTATATACAATAACTACTTTTGCGAAAGTGTCAGCAAGATAGCTTTAAAACTGAGAGACTAGTTAACATAGAAACGGAAAGACGAACAAACGTACAAACGTATTTCGATTCGGATCGTGATGCTGATCAAAAATACATATATACTTTACGGGGTCTGAGGTGTCTCCTTCACTGCGTTGCAAACATTTGACTGAAACTATAATAGGGTATAAAATTCGAAAACGTTGAATTTCAAATGTCAACAAAGGCAATTTGCCATTCGCAGGTATTTGTTCAAATTCAAACAGCCGATAGTGCTGCCACACTACTCACACTCCAAATTTTAACCTTAAAATTTTTTTTAAAACATAGCTATTCCTTGGATTTTTCAGAAATACTTATATATTAACTGAAAATACAAATTATTTTATTTAACTTAAGAAAATTTTGTATAACTTCTCAAGAGTTTCTATTTATTTCCCCGCTATTGTGACGATTTTGCTGCAGTCGAGAGCGCGCCCAAAAATGCAATAAAGAAAAACCCACACCATAAACAGAAACCCAAAATAGACAAGGCATTAAAGCCGATGAAAATAAAAAAACAAGTAGATACAGCAAGATGCCAATGCCGCACACACACATACTTACCCGTGCACACCACAACGACTGTCTTGTTGTGCCTCTGTTTGCGTTGGCTGTTACCTGTGCAGTTACTGCCTCTTTGGGTCAATTGTACACTTCGAGAAATTGTCCATCGGCTGCGCCGATCCCAAACCTTTATTAAACTGATCTAATTAGGTGAACTAAATGTTGAATATTGGATCATAAATATGTTGTACCAAGGAACACTCAAAACCACTTATGCTTAACCAGGCCTGAAAGCGAACTGTTTAATAGGTGTGATGATTACAGTTGAAATGTGATCGCCCGCCAACTATAACATGCAGATAGAATAAAAAAACATCTATCTTGACGTTGCCGGGCGTCCCTTCAACTAAACCTTTAGTGTAAAGTTTCTTTGTGAAGGCTGATCCCAGTATTGACAGAGTTAGGATCTAGCGCGGGATGACTGCGTTGCGGTGAAGATATGAAATCACTCAGCTCAGCTGGGTTGCCTCCCCCTTTCAATACAGCACACCGTCTATGCCTCGGTGGCTCGCGTCATACCTTCCTGCCCACTGAAATTGCGAACCACCGCGAACACCACACACAGGCTACTGCTTGTTGAACAGCATACGAAGGGGTATTCGCATTTCAGCCTAAATTTGGATTTTTGGTTTAAAAATAAACTGCTACGACTTGCAGTTTAGACTTCGTTTCTAATCTTTTACTCAGACAATATTTGGGCCAAAATCTTTTAATATTACAACTATATTACAACTAAATAGAAATATTTTTTGGGGTTTACATATACATAAAATGTATACAGTTCTATGCAATAAATTAAGAAAATTACCACATAAAACATGTAGGTTAGGTTGTCGTATTTATAATAATAAATATATATATACCAGACTGGTATATAAAATCGGTTAAGGCAGGTTCTCACCTTGTAGGGCCGAAAAATTAACATTTTTAAAAAAAATTGTTTTGAGAAAACGGTTAAAGATAAAAATCTGAAATTTGTAACTTTATTTGAAAACATATTTATTTTGCGAAAAAAATTTCAAAATTGAAAAATCAAAAAAGGGGCGGGAGGGGGCGTTGCTCAGTTGCGGCATTTCGGCAAAATGATGTCCCGCTTACGGAAGTGATTCAGCCAAAACGGGTAATCGGCAACACAAAAACCGAAAAGATTCTTAAAGTGTACTGTATTGTGGATAACATGAACTATGATCAGAAAAAAAAAATGAAAATTGCAAAAGTTATTAGCTTTTAAAAAAAAATTTCGATTTTCGCGCTTTTTTCGCGCTAATTATTTTCTCAATTAAACAGTTTTCAATATTTTTGGATAATCCTAGTTCATTCGTTAAAGGAAACAATTAGGAACATTAAAAAAAAATTATGGCGATTGGTTAACCCCAACGCCTTCAATTACTTCCGTAAGGTCCGAAAACGTGGTTCCGAGATAAACGCGCTTAAAGTTTTGGCCTCCAATGGCCGGTGCTCGACATGTGCTCCGTGTAAGGGCCTGTAACTTTTGTAATATTTCAAATTTGGATCTGAAATTTTTTGAGAACATTTTCGGAACATATATCTATACGATAAGCTAAGAAAAAAAAAATCAATTTTTTTTTTGCCACAAGGTGAGAACCTGCCTTAAGTAGTTTAGGAGTCCATCGCGGACAAACATCGTGATAGGAGATTTATATATAATAAGATATATATATATATATAAGATATATAAGATATATATATATATATATATATATTATAAGTATGTATACATATGTAAATATGAGTCAGCAGTCTGCAACGCAGTAAGGGAGACACATCAGACCCCAAAAAGTATACATACATATGTACAGTAGAATCCTGTTATAACGACTCCGCTTATAGTGTCCGTCCGGGTATTGCGACGAAAACTCGATGGCTTGATTGGTCCCCAGACAGACTTATACACTTAAATCCTTCTGCTTAGTGCGTCTTCCGGGTATAACGACGAAAAATCGTCGGTCCCTTGAAAGTCGCTATAAGCGGATTCTACTGTATATACATATACATATATTCTTGATTCCAATAGTTGTGTAGTTACTGCAAGTAAAATATATGTCGTGACAGCCTGGATTGAACAAGTACATTATAAAGCTCTCATAGGAGGAATACAAAAAATAAAGGTATTTCATTAAAACTGGAACACTACATATATCGAAAAGCAGTCATATGATATAAAGTCGTTGTTTTTATAACACAAGCATCATTTTTGGAATTGGGATGAAAATTTTATAAAATTCATCGTAAATAAATCTGATTTTACGAATATAGAGTTCTTTAAAAATCTTTTGAATTGCGAATTTATTTGTTTTTTAATCGGAGGGGGTTATCATATATCTGTTATAAAAACAACCGGAGCAATTATAGAAAATTAATGAAGAAAACCTTCATAAATTCAATGATGTCAACAAATTCGTTAATAGATAATGTTTATTAAAAAGAAACTTGTATAAAGATTGGGTTAATATCATAAAGTTTCTATAGAAAAAGAAGTTTAATGGAAAATTCGACATAACCTGATAGGTTTGTGCAGAACAGTACAATATTGCTACGCTTTTGCCAGCAAGTCAAACCTTACTTTCAAGAAATCGGTGTCTTATTTAAATGTTTCTTTAATATTCTTCTCTTCTTCTTTTACATGTATCCAGCAGGTAGAAGAGACACCTCATTTTTCTCTTCTTCTTTTACAGGTATCCAGCTACAAGAAGAGGCACTGTATCCTGCCTCCTTCTCCTTCGTCGTTTCCTCTCATTTGGTTGCATGCAAAGAGCTCGAACGAACGCCGACTGCGACGCCAACTGTGACTTGATACCTGGGCCTGGTTTGGTATGGGTAAAACCAAGGTTTTACCTGAACTCGGGCTCAGCCTGCTGCGACTTTCAGTCGGCCAGCGAACGTGGTTGCGATCACAACGTCTCAGTTCTTGGTTCTCCGTTTGTAAGTGCTCAGTTTTCAAGTCTCCAGCTAGTGCTCAGTTCTCAGTTCTCAAACCAAATTCTTTGCGGGGCGCATGTATGTGTGTCATGTGCGTGCGTGCTGAAGCCGTATCGGTGTGTTAGTGCTGGCCCGCTGCTAAAATTGATCTTTTTTTCCAAACGTTGCTTTTTTTTACTGTGCCTTCCAAACTGGTTCCTGCGCTGTTTACTGTGTATTTGTGCAGCAGCAGTAGCACTCAAAGAGGAGCTGAAGAAGGATCCAGCTGCGAAAAAAGAAAAGGAAGTCGGAGATAATCACAGATCGGAGAAAAGTATTTGTTTTTCTGGGATTTTCGGTGGATAAATCTCGAGTTTAACCAAATCAGAGACGATTTCGAAACAGATCCGGAACGTTACGCCACGATGCCCTGCTCGGCCGTAACCTTATCTATAGCGACGATCTGCGCGATCATCGCCACCGCCTTGCTTGCGATAGCCTTTTCCACGGATAACTGGCTGCACTACGATGTCTGGCGCAACCAAATACAGGTAAGTCTCCAGTCCCTGTTTTTGCAACCAAATCTCCCCGGCCAAAAACCGAATTAAACCAATGCCCAACCACTTAAAATACATATACATACATACATAAATACACAATTAGCCAGAGCCACTGAAATGTAGTTGTGTCATTGACGAAGACTCTTCCGCTAAAGACGGAGCTTTAACTTCGTCTACAAACACCGCATATTATTTCGAAATATATATGCATGTATGTATGTACATACATACATGCATATGTGGTACAAGTAGATTCCTAAGGCGATAAGGCGACAGAGAGATTTCTGAGTGGGTTTAAAGTCAACTTTTTGTACAAATCTAAAAATACATATTTATTTCAAAACATTTAACTTGAATAGGCATATTATTTTTTTTATTTTAAAACTAATTTGTATTTTTTACCCCAAGATTTTATAATGATTTTGTAATAATATCTATAATTTCTTCAGATCGATTTTTGATGCTGATGGTTAAATAAATAATATAACTTAGATGCATTTGTGCACTACAAAGAGGTGATTTTGGCCCACTGTGCTTACGAAAAGAAAAAGGTGGAAAGAGAGGATGAAGGGAAGAGGGAGCAGCACAAAGTAGTAGTAGCAGTGGTAACAGTAACATTCGCTCTTTTTGTGCTTGGCGAAAAGAGAATAAGGGCAAGGCGGAGAAAAAGAAAGGTCGAAAGCAAACACACCAACAACATTGAGAGAGAAGATTGTGAAGTGGGGGTCTGGAAAAGACGGGGTGGAGGGCGGGCAACGGCCGTTAACTTCAAAACTTTCTACGCGAGCGCTTAGCCAAGTCAAACTCGATGAATGAAAAGCGAAAAGAAGAGCCCAGGCTGATGAAGCTCGAGAGTGGGTTGGACGAGAAAAGAGAAGCAGGAAGTGAGGAGTAGGGGCCACTATACCAACAAAAACACCAACACTTTTTAAAATGTACTATTGCAAATACAGTCAAACTTCTTAAAAAAATTGTTATTTGTTTATCGCATGAATACAATTTAAAACCATTTTATGTATAAAAGAAGAGGGTTCGCTTAAGTCAAGTGAATAGACTAATATGTCCCATTATCCCATTACTCCACATAAGTAAATATTTTTAATAAGTGACAACTTTTTGAAAATCTTTTCGTCCACTTAAAAAGCAGAGCTAAAACGCCCCCAAGGCTTTTGGGCGTAATAGTAGCAAATTAAAACAAGAAAGGAAGCTAGCTTTGGCAAGACGAAGCTTATATGCCCTTGCAGTCATCCAATATGTCGAAATACATAAAGGCTAAACAACATCGAAGCTATGAGGATTTTTCTATTAATTTTCCATATTTTCGACTATTGTTCATATGACAGCTATATGATTTAGTCCTCCCATTTTGATGAAATTTAATTTAAAACTCAAGAATCATTAGAAGACTCTATGTTCCAAAAATCATGATTGTGTGATGAAAAACAACAATGTTATCATTTTATTTCTTTTATTTCAATATAGATTTTTCGATCTTTCCTATGATATAGTACCCAGATTTTGATGAAATTTTTTCTCGATTCAAGGGTGTTTAAAAAACTTGATGTTCTAAAAATCATGCTCATGCTTGTTTCCATTATTTATACATATGTATATATATTTTTTGGCCTTTCCTATGCCAGCTATATGATAGAGCTACCCGATTTTGATACAATTTCATCCGAAATTCAATAGTAGTTAGAAAACGTCATCTGGAATATCAACATCATGACCAAAAACAACGGCGTGAGAATTTTTGGCCGATCCGGCCCGTTCCAATAACTACAGAACTTTTGGGAAAGTTTCAGAAAGATAAATTTAAAACAGAGAAACTAGTTCGCGTACAGGAGGACAGACGGACAAACGGACAGACGTGATCGTGATGCTGATTAAGAATATATATATGTTCTTTATGGGGTCTGAGGTGTCTCCTTAACTGCGTTGCAAACTTCTGACTGAAATTATAAAACCCTTTGCTCTGCAAGGCTATAAAAACGTCATTCGGTATGTATTTGTTTCCTAAATCCAAATCATTAATTCAAAATGCTGTACCAAACAAATTCTGTGCCATCCTGACTCTGGCCGCCTCAAAATGTTGCGGCTTGTGGACGTAATAGAGTGAGCAGCACAAAAATGTAATAAACTTGAGCTGCTTACTAACATAATACCTTGAATCTGTATTTTTACTCCCAGTACTCTGACTCTTATACGGTGAGACGGACATAAATCGACTCGACTGTCGATTCTGACCAAGAATGAATGTGTACATACATATGTATATACTTTGTCGGGTCGCAAGTGCTCTCTTCAACCTATTACATACTTTTCATCAAATACAGTTACTCTACGATTAACAAACTCGCTCCCAAAACAAGCGGAATAAGAAGGTTTATGTAAGTTAGTACGGTCTCTTATTTAAATTTAATTGCAAATTCATAGCGGTTTTTACATACACACGTGTATGTAGTGAATTAAAAAAATTTTCCAATATGTTTGTCTGAATGACGTGCCACTGTATGAACCTTACTGCTAAGTGCATGTGTATCTGGGAAAAAACAGTATATGTTTGAGAAAAAAAGGTATGAAAAGGCATTGTAGAATAAATATTCTACTTCTTCTGAAGTAAATAATACCGTTTCATTGTTAGCGTGAGTGCGCATACCATTCCAATCAAAACAAGTCAACCAAAAAACAAAAACAAAAATCAGCCAATGAAGAAGAAGAAACCGAGTGAAAATATTTGCACGTTTTTGACTTTGTGGCTTGGACGAAGTTGTCACCTCATCCAAAAGTTTCAATGTCAATTCAGAGAACGATAATTCCGGTGAGATTTTTTAAAAATCGTCCTACAACCATGTCTGAAGCGAAATTTTTTGGAGTACTGAAGCCATTATACAACAGGTAAATTTAGATGTGGTTACTGTGTATATATACATATACATACATATTATATATACCGTCAAGAGAAATAGTTATGTATATTTATAGAGTATTAAAATGTGATAACTTGTTTTCTTTATTCAAAGAAACTTTTTTCATACGATATAAAACAATAGCTTAATAACTACGTTATGTTAAAAAAATTATTGTCGAGAGGCGGTCAGACGTTTTTGTTTAAAGTCTTGTGCAATCGTTTGTTATACCATTGCATATGGTATTGTAATTTCAGTCAAATCAATCGATTTAGACATGTTCATCTGTCTGTTTTTATGTTAACCAGTCTTTCAGTATTAAAGCTTTTTTCCTTAAATAAAATTACAAAATTTCATCATACATATATGTATGCATTTTTGGCAGATTGTGCTTTCTTACGACTCTTGAACGCAAATTAAATTTCACTTAAAATGGGACGACTTTAAAATTGGCGGTGAGACAATAAATTTATTTGGTGGCAAAAGGGGACAAATTTAAAGACTTATTGTTTTGACTCATTTGTTTTGCTAAATAGCTTGCATTATATTAAACATGAAATTATGAATACTTTATCAACAACAATCTCTTTGTTTATAAGTACCCGTTCATTTCAAAATATTTTTTAATATTTGGCTTTGTTCTTCTATACCTATATAAACAAATCTTTATAAATGTTAAGACTCTATTATATTTATGTCTGAAAAGGCAAAAAATGTAACTATGTATAGGTACAGTTTTCTATATCTATTTCACTGAAGTATACAGCCCTTGGCTTAAGATAATGGTACTTTAACACTAATATCTTTATCTTCCACTGACTTTCCCCACCAATCTGGCCGCTTCTTCAACTTCAGTATTCTACAAAGTACTGAAACTATCTAGCACTTTAAGGCATTTCGCTTTTCGATTTGTCTTGGGCCAAACCATTTGGCGTTGGCTTTTGTGGTTTTGATTGTATCCACACCTAAATCGTCGTAACCCTCGCAGATCGCCTCCAAACTGGTTTTCGAGTTGAGTTTTCACTCATTTCACGTTTTGGAGACAACAACGACGACTGGGATTACTCAAAATTGGTATGCGGCTAGTTGGCCGTTTTGCTTTGCCAGTTCGGTTTTTTGTGCTTGCTCGCAGTTGTTGTTTTTTTTCTCTTACAGTATATTGGCTGGTGGAATAGGATAGGGTATATGGGGAAATGGGAACGGGAGGACGATGAGGCATTGTTTTGGGTTAATATAATAATAAAAATATAATAATATTAATAAATTTAGCCATTAAATTATGATATATAATCTTTAATAAAATTAAGAAGATTTTAATTTATGGCTGCTGGCTCCCATATAAGGCTTGGCTCTGTTCTTGCCTTTAAAATGAAATAATAATTGTTATTCCAATATATACATTTATTGCCATTTATTCCAAATTTTTAAACGCTTGACTTTTCATTTTATTATCAATGTGTGCATTTTATAGCAAATATTATATGTATGTATATAAATTCAGTTAAAAGTTTGCAACGCAGTGAAGGTAACACCTTCGGCTTCTTAAAGATTTTTTATTATTCATCAGCGTGAGTCGATCTTGACATGTACATATGTACGTCTTCCCTTCTGTCTGTTTCTATGAAAACTAGTCTCTTATTTTTAAGCTAACATACATATCTTGCTAAAACTTTACCAAAAGTGTTATAGCTATTGCAAGTATATACGGTTTGGATCGGGCGACTTCATCATATTGCATCCACAGGAAAAATCGTAAAAATAATATAAAACAAATTATTACTTTGTTGTCTCTCATTTTACGAGCATGGTTTTTGTTTATTGTGTTTTTCTTAGCGAATCTTAAATTACAATTTGAATTTCATGAAATCAAAGCACTATATCATGTAGCTGCCATGGGAAAAATAAAAAATTTGTAATATAATATTGAATAACATAATTTCATTTACACATTTTGTCATATTGAGTTGTCCAACGACTCTTGAAATGCGATGAGTTGTAAAATATTGTTAAGATCGATAAGCTGCCATAGGAAGAATCGAACAAATTAAAGGAAATTAATAGTAAAATTAAATTCGAAGTTCC